ATTTCCCCACACATACCACCTATATCAGGCGCAGATAATAGGGAACGATGTCGCACGATGCTAGGCGAATGTACTGTGTACGATTTGAGCTCAAGTTGGATGAGTTACGCGTAGTAAATCGTAGGTATTCTAAGGCTAGTAAATGACGAATTTCCCTTGTTTATTGAAGTCACACTCCTTCCCTATTATCTACTCCTGATTATATGTGGCTGGTCATGGTAGTTATCTATGTGCCTTATCACTATCAGCAGTGGAATAGCATGTGATTATTATGCATATTGGTAGCTGTGAATTATGATCACACGTTATATTCAACTGACTCGATCACCATGCAGGTGTATAGATTTTAACTATATAACTCCGTAACTCCTATAGTATATATACATTGTATCCGGGCATGTACGCGCATGAGGGTGCTGTATATTGGTAGAGTTCATTGTTATATTTGCAAAATGCATTTAGTATGGTGCACGTAGTCTGCCGAACTAGTTGTTACAGCAATCTACTCATCCGTAAGTAAATCTGTTGGTTTTGGACCAATGGACGAGTATACATTTGTAACTTTTGCCATCAAGCTGATAATGGACTCTGTCAGGCAAATTGGAAATGTTACATAGGAATATTATGAACTATACTATAGCTTGGTGGTTGCTAGTTGGAAATATCCATATCTCCTCATTAACAACTATTCGGCATTGAATGTTGTTTAATCCTGCATGGACATATCACAGACAATTAACGGTTTATCATTGATTCTCAAAGATGATGATGTAAAAGAAGATGCAGCACCGAAGCTCAGTCGAAAAGACAAGAAAAAGCTACAAAAGCAGGTAAGTCATAATTAGTAACATCAGTATACTCCAAGGTCTAAGGCATGTAAGAAATGAATACAACATAATTTCCAATTTTGTTATTTGTCTACTAGTTAACAAAAAATAAAAATCCCATGTTTTACCTGTCACTGTCAGAGACAACGTAAAGATTACTTTATAGTATGCATACGATGGTGAATCCTTTTTAGATTTTCAGTAAAATTTAATCAAGTCAATATTCTACTAGGAGCAATAACGAGAATATAGTAGCATTGCATTTCGGATGCTTTTTAAGTTGCTTACAGCATGTGCTCCTGCAATGTTTCAGTTGGAATTCAATCGTCAGATGGAATCACTCACCACCAGTAGTGCTACTGACCAGTTCTCTGTATCGGTAGCTGAGAAAGCAGTATCAAAACAGCAGCAAGAAGCTGTTGACATCAAGGTATGATATCAGTGACACTTATCAATGTTTAGCCAGTGAAGTAGTTCAATCTAGTAATTGGATGGAAACTTTATAATTGATTTGATAGAGATTTCATTTTATAATTTTACTCGAATGCATATTTAATTATTCTAATTGTTACCACATGTAAAAAGTATAGCTTCCTTATTTTAACACTTTATTGCAACAATGTCTGCTATGCTGTTGGAACTTGTGTCTTAATAGTTACATGGTAATAATGATCCTCATTGTGTACCATAGATAGAAAACTTTTCCATAGCTGCAAGAGGAAAGGAGCTTTTTGTGAATGCTACTTTGAATATCACAAAAGGTAGAAGATATGGCTTTGTAGGCCCAAATGGGTAAGCTGCCTTTAAAAAAAACTTGTGCAGTTTCACAGGCAATGCATTCTCACAGTCAAATAACTTTAAGTTTATATAGAGCACATCATCATATCATATAAACCCTCATTTACAAAATAACCCAGTACTTTACCAAATAAGAAGGTAGAAGAAGCTTAACCTGCAGCAATATTCTTAATTAAAGGTTTCATTGTTGATGCCTAAAAATGTGGATGATAGAATATGTACTGTTATAATTTATTTAAACACTTTATTCCTTTATTACAGACATGGAAAGACAACATTGCTAGTTCATATAGCAAAACGAATTTTACAGATACCAGCTAATATTGACGTGTTGCTATGTGAACAAGGTAAATTTGTGTGCCTATGTGCGTGTATTATATATATATATATATATATATATATATATATATATATATAATGAAACTGAGCGGTGGTCACTCATTAGCTGTTTAAAGTTTTTTACTAAGGCCGTAATATTACTCCTGTTTTTAAATGATTAGTGTGGTGCTCGGCTGTAGCAGTGTACCGCCGCGAAGTTATGAGAAAGTGTGGTGTTATTGTAGAGGTGAACATCAAAGTTGTGATGTTGGGTCAGCTATCATTATTCAAACAGGTGACAATTAATATTATCATGTGGTGTCGATTCTTTCAGAGGTTGTTGCCGAGTGAAACATGCAGCTATAGATTAATGTGCTGAAGGCGGACACTAAAACGACCTCGCTCTCTGGAAGAAGAAGAAGAAGTGAATGGCAAGAGGCAGAGGCAGGGCAACAGGACACGAAAAATAGTACCAGACTAACAGAGGTGTGTAGACTAATGTGCATTCTAATTAAAATAATAATTAGCGCGAATTAACTTCCTTCGATGGCATTTGTTGATGGTGGGTGATGATCGGTTTTGCGCAACATAATTCCAAGGATAGATACACCAGCAAGACCCCACATTAACGTGTCGTTTCATTTCAAACATTTTTTAGGCTCACGCTTGACTCAGTCAAGGCTGAGCTTATTGCATGGTCCGTCCGTGCGTCCGTCGTCCGCTGTCGTCCGTTAACCGTTCGTCCGTCTGTCCGTCGTCAACATTTGCTACGGTCAAACGATAACTTGAAGGAACCGTTCTGAAGCGGCGCACATGTTTGAAATCGGTATATTTTGTTACTGCTATGCTCCATATTGAACGTCCTGATTTTGGAGGCAACGCTCAAGTACGAGCGTAACTTTCGAAACCACGGCAATTTTTTGGCATAAAAATGGGAATTGCCATAAGTCAGTATCAAGGTTCAAATCGGATTTATGCTCATTTTTTGTTAAGGGGTTTTGATGTTTAAAAAAACATTATAGCAATATTAGGTAGGTTTTGGCAATTATATAGCCTATTATATAGACACGCAAGATAAGAAACCAGTCCTTGTGGTGTCAGCTGCCGTCTGGTTTGTTTTAGCAAGATTGTCATTGACAATATCTTTAATGCAACAATTGGTATTTCCGCTCACAGCGCTGGCCGAATAAAACGTCCTTATATTAGAGTAAAGTTTTACAAAACATGTTGGAACTGCAGCATAACCTATTTATTTCGAACTGCAATCGCTGATCAAAGCGGGTATAGCGCCATCTACCGTCACAAATTGTGATTCATTTTGGTTTATAAATTATTATTGCGATATACAGATGGCAACCGTGTGCTACCGCCTAGAAAAAACTCATACGAAGTAAACACTTCCATGCAACCAATTAACCTTTGACAAAAGTTGTGTTATCGGCAGGGAAACACCATTGTCACGTGGTATATAGCAGCTACGTGGAATAAGCGTATCTTCTCAATCTTACACGTTACACATCGGGAGCTCCGCTTTTAGGCAGTGCCTAAATCTGAATATTATAAAAACGTTAAATGGCGATCATTTAGGTGTAACGCCATCACTCGCCCACATCTCAGACTTTCACATCTCAAACATTTATTTTCACATAAAAAATTACACATAATTATCAAGAGTTTATAATGGGAGTTCTCCCATATATACGCTTCGTTTCTATAATGTACGTCGATGGTTGCTCAATTAAAACTGACTTCTTCTCACTCACTCATTTGTGTCCTTTTTTGTGGTGAGCTACAGTGTCATTGACACTTTTATTTCATCATAACATTGTTGAGAAAAAAACCACTGACACTGAGGCATCGCCTATATTATAATGCTGAGTGTCAAATTTTTAATATCTTATATATATGGATTATGAAATTCCAGCCGATTTCCGTCACTGATTTGCAGGTGTACGAGGAACTTGACGCCATTGGTGCGAATTCCGCCGAGGCGCGCGCACGTCGCATCCTCTCTGGTCTGCAGTTCACGCCCGAGATGCAAGAACGGCCGACGAACCACTTCTCCGGAGGCTGGCGCATGCGTGTGTCGCTCGCGCGCGCTCTCTTTATCGAACCCACGCTGTTGCTACTCGATGAACCGACCAATCACCTCGACCTGAACGCCGTAATCTGGCTAGACAAGTGAGCAGCTAAGCTTCGCATTGGCTCTTTCACGACGACGTGAAACTGTTCCGATAGAGGCCACAAGTTTAAAAAATAATAAACATCCGTGTATTTTTTAGCCCACCTTGACATTGTCGAGATGAGCTATTGCCATGGGTCGTCGTCCGTCGTATGTCCGTCCGTCCTTCCATCAACATTTGGCTACAGTCAACGATAACTCAGGAACCCTTTGACCCACATGTTTGAAATTGGGTATAGTTGATACTGCAATGGGAGAGGTTTGAACGTCCTATTTTGGAGCACGCCAATCGACGTACTTTCGAGCCACGGCAATTTTTTGGCAACGATGGAAATTGTCATTAGTCAATTCAGGTTCAACGGATTTTGCTCATTTTTGGTATGTGAATGAATAAGGGCTGGCCCTAAAACGTATTACAAGGGTTTTGATATTTGAAAAAAAATTATGCAAATTAGGTAGGTTTTGGCAATTATATAGCATATTATATAGACACGCAGATAACAGTTTGTGGTGTCACACTCGTCTGGTTCGTTTTACAAGATTGACAATATCTTTAATGCAAAATTGGTATTTCCTTTCCACCCTGCCGATAAAACGTCTATATTAGAGTAAAGTTTTACAAAACATGTTGGAACGCAGCATAACCTATTTATTTCGAACGCCATCGCTAAGAAACATCAAAGCGGGTATAGCGCCATCTACCGTCACAAATTGTGATTCATTTTGGTTTATAAATTATTATTGCGATATACAGATGGCAACCGTTTGCTACCGCCTAGAAAAACTCATACGAAGTAAACACTTCCATGCAACCAATTAACCTTTGACAAAAGTTGTGTTATGGGCAGGGAAACACCATTGTCACGTGGTATATAGCAGCTACGTAGAATAAGCGTATCCTCTCAATCTTACACGTTACACATCGGGAGCTCCACTTTTAGGCAGTGCCTAAATCTAAATATTATAAAAACGTTAAATGGCGATCATTTAGGTGTAACGCCATCACTCGCCCACATCTCAGACTTTCACATCTCAAACATTTATTTTGATGGTTGCTCAATTAAAACTGACTTCTTCTCACTCACTCATTTGTGTCCTTTTTTGTGGTGAGCTACAGTGTCATTGATACTTTCATTCTAAATGATATCACATTATAAGTTTTATGAGAAGCATCATGAGTAAATTTGAAATGGTTATTATGGTTGTTATTCCTCATATGTGCCTAGATGGCACATAAGGCAGTGACAAGAGATCTCTAACAGCGTTGGTCCGCTGCTATTATGGTTGTTTTATCATTAAATTTACAGATTATTTGCTTTACTCACTATTTTTCAGTTACTTGCAACAGTGGAAGAAAACGTTATTAATAGTATCTCACGACCAAAGCTTCTTGGACAATGTGTGCAATGACATCATTCACTTGGACCAGCAGAAGCTCTTCTATTACAGAGGAAACTACAGTAGGTTTATGTTATGATCTATATGCCATACTGTAATATATGTTATCTTTAAAATTATTCGTTGATAGTAATTCTATGTATTTTATATCAAGTGCACTTGCCTCAACGTTCTGACCTGTAGAGAGCACGCGTCAGTGCATGATATGTTGGTTCAAGTTGACTTTGTTTTCTGTCAGGGTTTCCAGTGCTTATATTTATTAGGTTTACCACATTTTCCAATTTTTTTTCCATTCCAGCTCAGTTTAAGAAAATGTTAACACAGAAGAGGAAGGAACAGCAAAAGGATTATGAAAAGCAGGAACGGCGAATCAAAGAATTGAAAAGTTCCGGGAAGTCGGGTAAAGTCGCGGTAGGTTACACTATCACATGTAATACACAAACCTGAAAGATTATCTACCAACCGATAATCCATGACACATTTAATAATGTAGATTTCACACCATCGGCAGGATGTAAATAATCAGTGCTCATCATTCTGGCAACACATAGTGAAATAACGAGTGTAGAGACTTTAGTAATTACGACTGTTCATCTTCGCATCTGCATGACAACATGGCACATCACACGCGAGAGCTCTACGACTGCCCGCTTTCCCTTGCAGGAGAAGGTGACGAAGCAGGCACTGACGAGGAAGCAGGAGAAGGGCAGGACCAAGCAGCAGAAGGAGCAGACGGAGGATGTGGGTCCGACGCAGCTGCTCGCGAGGCCCCGCGAGTACGTCGTGCGATTCCGTTTCCCGCAGCCACCTCCCCTGCAGCCTCCCATCATCGGCCTGCACGGTAGGTCATCGTTAGGCGCCAGCTGTTAACGATATAAGATATATAACAGGGGTAGAAATGAACTTTTTAACAAGGGAGTCCAACGGACTCGCTGCTCTCAAAACAAGGGAGTCCGCAGCAAAATGAGGGAGTCGGTAGTCTGAAGTTCAAAATTAAAAATGTGCTGAAAAATACGGTAATTCCGCTAGGCCGTGCTCTGGAACGAACTAGTTGGTATAGCAGAATTTTCAGGGAGTCGTATGGACTCCTGAATATGTCAAATTAGGGAGTCTGACAGTGAATCAGGGAGTATTTGACTCCGGACTCCGTGCCGTTAATTTTGCACCCTGTATAAGATATAAGATATAACAGTATCGCTTTCAATATTAGTAAGTACAAGAATTTTAACAAAGCAAATAATAATTAAACAATACAACGGAGGGATGACGAAAAGACCATGCTGTCATCTAGTCAGCCATCCCCTGGAAAAAATTATAAAGTATGCGGGTAAACGACATCTTTTTTACAATGTCACATAAACCAGCAATTTTTTTTGGGGGGTGGGGGGTCAGTCGGAATGTCGGTCAAATGCTGTTTCCCCCTTATGCTGAAATGTTTAGTACATTAAATTTGTCAGTGATGTAAAGGATGAGTGTGGTCTGTTTTGGTCGGAGGACGGCAAGCAAGAAATCATTTATTTGATGAAAGGTGGCCTTGAGATATGGCATGGGTTGAAGAAGAATGAGTTAACTTAATGTAGTAAACAGTTATTGGCAACTCAGAAGGGGTCATATATATTTGCAAATGTCTAATATTGAGGAAATTGTTGCAACTATGCAAAAGGAATGCTAATACTGTTGTCTGCTGTAATCTACAAATGTGCTTACTTAAATTACATTGCGTGCATGCGTGTGTGCTGCGTGTATCTGCTAACATGTTTTTATTGCTCCTCTGCAGATGTTTCGTTTGGTTATCCAGGCCAGCCGAAATTATTTTTGAATTTAGAATTTGGCGTGGATATGTCATCAAGATGTGAGTATTTTATTAGGCCTAGTATAATGTATTATAATAAAATTGAAGAATAGAAGCAAGTATTTCTATCAATGATAAGAAACTTATTTATGCTTTAGGGTATTGCTTATGTCAAGCAAATTTCTGCACATGTAACTTTGAGGTGACATGTTCTCTATCTAACTTTGAGAGGTAGATGTATATTGGAGTATGTAGCGTTGTTTTTGCTTCCGCACAGTGGCCATCGTTGGACCCAACGGTGTCGGGAAGAGCACATTGCTGCACCTACTCACAGGAGTGTTGACACCGGTAAGCACTGGCTGCATGCATTCAAACAAACATCGTTATTAACTCATCTGACGTAGTCAGATGCAGCTTGTAGAATCGCATGATCGTGCGTGCGTTCATCCGTGCGTTCATCCGTGCGTGCGTGCGTGCGTGCGTCCGTCCGTCAACAGTTGGGCACAAATCTTAACCGCTCGACGTACGGTCACGATATTCGGGACGTCGGGGGGGATCGTGAAAAGGACTCAGGATGACAAATTTGGGGGTCAAGGGTCAAAGGTCAAGATGTGTAAACGGAGGGGGAATATTTTCCCCTTAACTTAAGGTATAGGAGGAAATACGGAATTACGGCACAAGTCTGAACGGCTCGACCTATGCTCTTAATATTTGGTGTATAGTATGATGGGCAGGAAAACCATCACCAGTGCGAAATTGGACGTCGCAGGTCAAAGGGCAGTGGGGGAAAGGTCAGATATCAGACATTTTCTGAGGACATGGCCTAATGGACAGAGTGAAAAACTTTTTTGTTTTAGCGCTGACTTACCATTTTTATCACTTTATTGAAAGGACCATGAAATGTGCTTTCCACTGACGTGCGAAGAGTAAGTGTCTGATAACCTTTTGACCCTCAAGAGGAGGGTTAAACATGGATTCCTGAACTGCCTCAATGACGTCACAGTGTTGTCATATTCATGGCACATCCATAATCTAGAAACCCAATAAGCCTGGATAGCCGATCGCGTACAGCACAGGCGTCACGGCTCAAAGGTCGTTGGATCGAATCCCATTTGATTTTTTATTATTTACTTGTTTTCTGTATTTTTCTATCTTCATCCATTTAACTATTTTTTCCCAATTAACGCAAATATTTACATGATTTATTTACAACAATTTAATAACAACAAATAATTTTTACAACAATTACTTCTTTTTTTTTAATAGGGTTAGGGTCACAATGCACCATAAAACACGAGTTTCAGGCACGCGATTTGTATCAACCAATGGGATTTGGGAGGTATGCAGAATGCAGAAGGTTGCTGAAATGATGTGTACGCAACTGCGTATCTGCATATCTGCGCCTAACAAAGGTGTCACTACGCACGACTTAAATGTTACATTTATAACCGTAGCAACAGACCTCAGATGAGCCCAGACGCTCTGCGGCTCTTGTATTAATATACCTCATAATATATATTAATACTACAAGAGGTAATTACCTCTTGTTATATCAACTCGTTGGGCGGGCAAGTCGGTGCAATTTTGTTGCCGAGCGTTACAGTTAGTTGCTGCTGCAGTGCGGATTGGTCTTCCTGCAGCTCCATCACAGATGTGTCAATATAGGATTCTTGGTCATTTATCAGATGTTTGTGTACTTGGTGTGACAGTGGTGTGGGCACACGAGCTAAATGTTACAGCCATCTTTAAGACCTACTTGTACTTGATTTCAGACAAAAGGTGAATTGAGGAAAAATCACAGGCTGGTAAGTGAGAGCTATTGCTTTTTTCGACAAGTATGTTAGGCTGTCATGCAATATTAGAAAAATGCAGCATGCAGTCGTGCTCTCATTGCGCTTTCACTCAAGTGATCGTTATTCGTGATATTCCAATTTATGGTGCCATATCATTACGTGTGTGTGGCTATATAGATGGCATCTGTGCTCTATAGTTTGATCTCGTTAAGACACAGGTGGTCTGCTAGTGTTGGGTATATCAGCCTGTACCCCAGTCTAGGACTGGTTACTTTTGAGCAGGACTGACAAATTTTTATGTATTTTACTATACGTTATATAGTAGAAATCTAAATTGTTTAAATCTGGACTGGCTGGGGTTTCAGACTTATTTCCAAGACTGGTTTTAAAGAATATTGTTTTAAGAAAGACTAGGACTTACAGACAGTTACGGACACTACAGTAATCACCTTTTAAACATGTCGAATTTTATCACTCTTACCTGTTACTGAGACTATTGTGGTTACCTGCTTTTTCTTGTCTGTGGTGTAGTAGCAAGTCTAATATGTAAGATTCCTGTCTATTTTCAATAGTAAAAACACGGAACTGGCTTGTGGTTTGTATTCCAAATGAACGGGTTATTTACTAATGATTTTATGTATAAGATTAACTGAAATTTTTAATTGTCACAAAATCGGTGCGTGTGCGTGTGCATGTTATGTATTTATTCTTTCCTATGTCTGCCCATTATTTACAACACGCTGGCCAGTGTCTCTTCTCTTTCCGTTTGTTGCCACAATAAGAATATATCAGGGAAAAACGCAGTGTAGCACAACAGTTGGAAAAATACTATTTATGTGTTTAAATTGTCACCGTGTCTGTAACTGCCTATAAATTTTATTGAGGACTGTCCGTAACTGCATGTAGTTGTCTGTAGCTGTATGTAGTTAATTGACAATTTGTGTTTCAATGACCTACTTCCAGGAAACAGTTAGTTTCGATTATTATTACCAAATCCTTGTGGCACTGCCATTCATGCAATATGTATATACTATGTATGTACCACTCACTACTACAGTGTATACAAGGTTGTTATAATGATCTTTAAATACTTGGAGCCATTTGATTATCACTACTAAAAAGATTGATTATTTGGTGTTTTTACTTCTCAACTAATTTCACCTAATTCTATTATAGAACATCGGAAAGTTTGACCAGCATTCCGGTGAACATCTAACTCTGGATGAATCACCCGTCGAGTATCTCAGGGTTAGTGCCTATATCAACATCTGATATGAATTTAAGCTGGTGCTGGGACTGTTCCTGGAGCTGCAATGATATTTTATATTTTTAATGGTAATTACTTTACCTTGGAACTGTTCGTGGAGCTGCAATGATATTTTATATTTTTAATGCTAATTACTTTACCTTGGAACGCTTCGTGGAGCTGCAATGATATTTTATATTTTTTATGGTAATTAATTTACCTGGAAGTATTTCCTCAGAGAGAAAGGACATGTGTAATCAGCCAGACGAGGGCTTCGACTATAGGATATCCTTCCCGATAACTTTATTAGTGTCGCATGCCTTGTTCTTCGCAGCGTCTATTCAACCTAGACTACCAGGAGGCACGCAAAATCCTGGGTAGCCAAGGGCTGTCAAGCCACGCTCACACGATCAAGAACAGGGATTTGTCTGGCGGCCAAAAAGCAAGAGTTGCTCTCGCTGAGCTGGCACTAAAAGCACCTGATGTACTTATTCTGGTATGATAACTATCAGTCATCTTTATGCAGGGTGCAAAATTAACGGGAGTCCGGAGTCAAATACTCCCTGATTTACTGTCGGACTCCCTGATTTGACATATGCAGGAGTCCATGTGACTCCCTGAAAATTCTGCTATAATAACTATAGTTCGTTCCAGAGCATGCATGCCATGGCCTCGCGGAATTAAAGTATTTCTTTCAGCAAATGTCCCAAGAAAATTTGGCAGATGTGCAACCGCATGAATCTTCAAAATAAGCACATGCATGCGTTATTGTAAAATATCTTTAATTTTGAACTTTAGACTGCGGACTCCCTCATTTTCCTGTGGACTCCCTCTTGTTGAGGGCAGGGAGTCCGTTAGACTCCCTTGTTCAAAAGTTCATTTTTATCCCTGTTTATGTGTTCAGGATTTTTATTTTGCTCAAGGTTGCACACTGTGCACGTGGAGTAGATGGTCTTAATTAAAACAATGGAAAACATGGATTCTTCTTGTGTGCACAGTAAAATTTTATCAAGAACTGTTAAAGTGTTGAACTGTTTGTTTTGAATTCTTTCAAGTGCAGAAATGTACCCGGTTGTTTCACCTTACATTGTTATGCTATTGCATAAACTCTTGGATGACATGTTACTTTCAGGATGAGCCCACAAATAATCTTGATATAGAATCTATCGATGCTCTGGCAGAAGCGATAAACAACTTTAAAGGAGGTTCGTGAAACGTCATTAGGAATAGACAGCCTATACACTGACATTAATTACATTGACAATTACATTGATATTAGTTACATTGACAGTTACATTGACATTAGGTCTCCCTGTGTAAAATTTGCTTAATCATGTTGTGTTCTCGATGCTAGGTCTTTGGAACTTTCATTCAATCATTTGTGTTCTACAATTCATTCATAATTTTATTCATTCTTTCATTCATTTGCTCGAACGTTTGTTTACTTTTTACCTCATTCAATTCAATCAGTCAATAATTGAATCAGGCAGTCATTCATTTGATTGTTCATTCATTCATTTATTCATTTCATTTATAGATTTTTTTATTTGTTTATCAACTCTAAGGTTCAGGCTCTGTATACTCCACCTGCTAAATCCATTGTTATTTTATAATATTGTGCAGGTGTTATCATCGTTACCCATGACGAGCGTTTCATCAGAGATACCAGCTGTCAGCTGCAGATTGTAGAGGGTCAAAGCGTAGAGGAGATTGATGGCGAATTTGACGACTACAGAAGAGAAATCCTCGAAACCCTAGGCGAGACCGTGATGGGTCTTGCAGCAGCTAGCAAGCAGTGATTGTTGTGGCAAGTCATTCCTTTAATTTTACATAGGTAACGCGCGGTAGAAATTCCCAGCGAAGGGGACGATTTGAGGCAATGATGTGTGCAGGCTTGCATTTCGCGCTGCAATACACTGGAGAAACTTATCTATGTTGGCATTTACGAAAACGTTAGACATAGTGCATGATGTTTGGAATGGCAACTATTGTTTGTGTATGTAACTGATCACAAAGTTCGATTGTTAACACGCTGGAGCATAGTTGGTGTAAGTAATGGAGGCATAGGAGCAGGAGGCAGGGTGTGCATGTAATTAAGTAATGATGGTGTGGTGTTATACCTTAATTGCTTTTGAAATCATATTCCAAGTCTATTGTTAAGTTTAATTAACAACCATTTGGGGGGCAAGCCATTAGAAAAATATACTTATTTCTCGTGGTTCTATCCTAGGCTAGACATACAACTTTAGAGTGAATATAATTGCAAGTTTAATTGCAAACTACATTTAATAACTCAATGAATTTCTAAAGTTAAACCACCTTTAAATGAGTCACGTGAGTGAACTGGAAGTATGTTATGCTGATTGTAAACCTGAATAAAACAACATATCCGTTTACAGTTACTCTTGGTTCAATTTTCTTAATGTTTATCATACAGTGCAGTGTACGTGTTTGCAATGTTAGGTTGATTCATGGCTTTTATTTTCTGGCCTTCTGGTAGAATGGAGCGCCGAGTCCATCCCAGGCAGCCCTTATATATGCTCGCAGTCGTGGCCTTGCCTGGCTTGCTGTGAATCCTGGGTCGAAGCCTGTGTCGAATCCTGTAGTACGGCTTCGACTCGTAGGTGACGGTATAGACACCTTACACTCTCCCCTCCTTCGGAGCAGAGTCCCGGCGGACAGTCTGTAATACAACAGTACTACATGCTCAATGCACTAAGTACACTTCCCACAGCATTGGGTATGTGTTGCTGCTACCATTGCTCATAGCACCACACAATCGTTCGCGCATAACTGGCAGGATACTTTGTTCTTCCCCTGCCGAGTTATGCATTTACATGGAATACGTGGGGCCCATTATCCGACCAGTTTTAACTGGTACACACGCACTTTGCCATTAGCGTCAGCTAGAATAGCGTTCAAGGGTGACGTCATTCGCAGCACCGTATAGGGACCCTGGAACCGGGGGGCTAGTTTCGCGCTGCAGTTCTTTCGTGCATCCGACAACGGGTGTGCCTTTAACATAACTCTGGCCCCTGGAGAGATTGTGCTGCCCCGACGGTGGGTGTCATAATATACCTTAGCTTTGGCTGCTGCGGCCTGTTGCTTGGCCTTAATCCGCTTGTACAGCGGGTTCGAAACTCTCTCCTCCCCCCCCCCAACTGGAGGTCAAAATAAGAACATAATTTCCGCCCAAGAAAAATGTGGCATTGTGGCATATATGAAGTTGTTAAGTGATTAGGTATTCCAACCAATTAATTGTGATATCAAGTTGCCACGAAAATATTCTCAATCACAAAACATGATTAGTGAATCAGAGAGCCGATAAGAGAATAGCGTTTATAACCATCACACATTGCACGACATAGATACAACATGCTAAGTTCATCAGATTTGTGCATAATCCAAATTTGCATGTCTACAAATATGTATACAAAATATTGACCTTTGGAACCTGATCAAGAACGTTGGTTGGCAACTTATAGAATACATTATTGTGCTGTGCGCTATGCATGGTAGCTCAGCAGTGTAATTTTTCAGTGACATATCAGCATAACCACACCAAAGACCCTATATACCACACTGAGTGATAGCTGCTCAGTGTGCATACCGGAGTCCAGCAGGCATGACGTCTAGTGATCCCACAAAACCTATAGGTATGTCGCACTTTCTAATAGTATGATGTAACTAATAACTATGATGTAGAGAATAATATACTTCATTCCTCATGATAGTCCTGAAGTACACTATATATATACATGCCGTACACTAATTCATATTTACTTCAGTTGTGTAATTCAGGTTCATTCAAAATTGAGTAAAATTATTTGTACTGAAAACCTTCTGGAAGTTGGAACTAATGCATATGGATTTTTAGCTTATCAGCTTGTAGAATCGCATGATCGTCCGTCCGTGCGTCCGGCCGTCTGTCCGTGCGTCAACAGTTGGGCACAAATCTTAACCGCTCGACGTACGGTCACGATATTCGGGACGTGGGGGGATAATCCGAAAATGAGTTGGGATGTCGAAGCTGGGATCAAAGGTCAAAGGTCAAGAGGTGTAAAAAAGGGGGGCCTAGGTCGAGCCGTTTAGATTTGTGCCGCAATTCTGCATTTCCTCCCTATACCTTAAGTTAAGGAGGGAATGTTTCGTGATAGTCGGTGTATAGCATCATGGTAGGAAAGCCATCACTGTGCTGAAATTGGAGGTCAATGGTCAATGGAGAAAAACTACACAGTAATATCACCACCACATGCACTGGCAGTGGCATACGTTACATGTAACACACTGACAGTACAGAATGCCATAGAAATTATACGATTTAAGGAGCATAAACCTTCTCCAACCAAATTTAGCTTTGGAAATTTCACTGTGACATTGTAGCCTCATACATCCAGGCATGTATAGATTCTACTAGCAAACCCGGCAGTCAAAATCTTTCTAACAGACAGTAAACAAATCCATGTTTAACCCTCCTCTTGAGGGTCAAAAGGTTATCCGACACTTACTCTTCGCATGTCAGCAGAAAGTACATTTCATGGTCCTTTCAATAAAGCCATAAAAATGCTAGGTCACTGCTGAAACACCTCAGAAAATGTCTAAAATCTGCCCTGTGGTAACCTAATTAACGCAGGCAGTAGACATGCTAAGTGTTTTTTGACTTCAACTCATGCTACAAATGTCCCCTTTGGCATAGAAGTTCCTTAGAACCCTAGAAAAAAAATTATCCAAAGACACACGTTCTATCTCAAAATCCAAGATGGCCGCCGGCGGCCATTTTGGAAAATTTGGTCGACTCACAACTCCTGAACCGTTTGTCATAGAAACTATTGTGACACATGTTTTTTTAGCTAATTTGAGGTCACTGAATTCATTTTTGGCATTAATTTTGCATTTGAAATACATTTAGAGGTAAAATTCAAGAAATAATACACAAAGTTGATGTTTTGATAAAATAAACCACACCAGAATTTGTCCGGGGACTGTATTGACAATGTAAGCACATCCGAACACATTCCTTCATTCAGCTGAGCTCTTATCTCTCTGTACCTCCCTCATCATATGGGTATGGGAACAAGAACCCTGGCATCTACAGAGAAACATGTAGGGCTGCCTGTGCACACAGCACTTGCAAGGAGCCTTACAGTCGGTCTTACACTGGCAAGTGACAAGCTGTGACATGTCCCGAGCATGGGAAATCCGTTGGCGAAACATGCCACACCATTATTCGGCTGTTAGGAGATTCAGTGAACAGAGGCAGCATGTATGACTTGGCTGGGCGAGTAACTGGTGGTTCTGTAATGCTGGCATAGTATGCAGCCCATGAGATTCATTCACCTGTTCAAGGTTCTGTTTGGGTAGAAGGCTTCTGACTCGCTCCAGCCACACATAGCCCTCTTCAATGATACTGGTGACAGAGCGTGAAGCTGGACAAGGGTGACTGTTGGTCCTCAGAGCAGGAACGTGCAACACTTCATCATTTGGCAGTGAGACATCCACATCCATGGTCGTGTAGATCCATGGTCGTGTAATACCCGGTCCATCAAGAAGCATGTGTAGGAATGTTCGCAATGTAGGTAGGATGGATTCAGCTTAATTTACATGCGTTTGGAAAGGAGCCTGTGAAAACCTGCCTCATGTGGAGATAGTCACGACGGAGGATCTTGGCTGCTTTGTGGAGGATGGAGACCTCTGTTGATGTACTGTCTTTCATATCCACAGCTTTGCTTAGATCATCTTAAACAAGTGCCGCGGAGCGACAGCGCTCATCTAACGTCTACTGCGGTGACTCTGTGGTAGAGTGGTGGGATTCTAGTAAACCCTGTTAGTCCCAAATGTGTTCACATACACGCCGAAACAGTGGAATGCACATGGATGGTATCAGGAACCTTCTTAAAGGAATGTTCGTTGGGATCGTTATGAAAGTTGCAACAAGATGGCGCGTACGTTTAAGTGTCTTCAGATTAAAGATGGAAGCTCCCATCGTACGTAGTAGCAACAACTATTTGCAAGACAGAATAGGTAAGCACTCATCCATTTACCTACGCAAGCCTACAGGCTGCAATAGAGAGCTGCCACCTGTAAAATAGGATTGTCGTAATTTAAGGATTTATATTTTACAGTGTTGCAGTCCGCTGTTTTATAATCAGCCTTTGTAATGCGCACGTGAACATCTGCATGTAACGTGCGCAATATAAATCAATAAATATTATTATTATTATTATTATTACACGCACACGCGGGAGGGCACGTATGAGCGCACGCACGCACGCACGCTCGCACGCACGCATGCATACATACACATATACGCACGCACGCACGTAAGCATGCAAGTGCGCGTGCTCGGACGCACGCGCACACACTTACGCGCGCACGCGCACGCACGCGCGCCCGGATACGCGCACGCGCACACTTCACTCGCAATTACTCTCGCAAAAATACGGCTTGTTGAGCATATAATTAGCCGTTGTTATGTTAAATTGCGCTGTTGCGTTTTTTGCTGGCATTCAGACGGGCATTCGATATGCCGCGGTGTTTAGGAGATGCGGAAACGCGGTGAGGCGAGGCAAACAACCGCAATTACGCGGTAGCAAGAAAACAACAATTACTGGCGCGCCGTAAAACACAGAGAGATAAAGGTGGGGGAGGGGGGAGGAAAGAAATACAGAGAGTGTGTGTGAGAGAGACGGAGAGGCGGAAAGAGAGCGAGTGTGGGAGAGAGGGAATTTGAGATGAAGAGCGAGAAAGAAGGACAGTGAGTGTCAGAGAGAGAGAGAGAGAGAGAGAGAGAGAGAGAGAGAGAGAGAGAGAGAGAAAGCAAGAGGGCTAGATAGNTTGACCTTTGACCCCCAGCTTCGACATCCCAACTCGTTTTCGGATTACCCCCCCACGTCCCGACTTTCGAATCCGTACGTCGAGCCGTTTAGATTTGTGCCCAACTGTTGACGGACGCACGCACGGACGGACTATGTCTGATGAGCTAAAAACTGGCTGAATTCATTCATCACTTTCGTTCTCTTGGTCTGTGTCTGAGGGAATTTGATCGTTGTTCTTAATTTTTCTCCGATGATCACGGACACAACTCGATGCAAACAACGACAAGCTGCCGCCTGCGATATTATATTTATCCTAAACAGATTAGTAATTGAAACAAACCTTGTTGGTAGCTCTATTAACGGGCAAAGTTCATTTGCCAAATCCAACAATGCATGCCGAGGAAATCTGTAGCGATTGAACAGCGTGTAGTCCGGCAAATCGAATGGATCCTGCCGATCTCTAAATACACGCTCTCTGCGAATTGCTCGTCTCTGTACTATTGCTGCCACTGCTGCAAGTGCAAACGCTGCCATCTGGTCCACTGACTTTTTGATGTATGGTGTGCGCGCGTGTGTGTGCGATTGAC